ACATCAAGTGTGGTTTCCTTGGCACCTCTCAAATTGAGGTGCATCTTAATTGGTCAGCAGTCCCGGGTACTCGTACGACTCATGAACAGAGGAGGGATAAACAGTTAGTATGGGCTAGGTTATGCTGCAGTAATAAACATCCCCCAATCTCAGTAGTTTAAACAATAAAAGTTAACTATGCACACACTACATGCCCACATAGGGTTGGCTGGGGGCTGGCCCTCCTCCATATCGTTGTTATATCAGGACCCAGGCTAACAGAACACTTCCAGTTACCAAAACAGAAATGGAAATGGAAAATGCAGGAAATTGTGCACTGGCTCTTGAAGCTTTACCCTAGAAGGAACATACATCATTTCAACCCACATTTTATTGGCCAACACAAGTCTTGTGGTCACATCTAATTCCAAGGGGACAGGAAAATGCAGTCCACCATGTGGTCACAAGGAGAGCTAGCAATAGATAGTGAACAGTAGGCATGACTACCATAGTAAAGGACCTGGACCCCTGGTCTGGGGATGGAGACATGAGAAGAGAACTGCTTCCCATCAACAGGTAGAACTGAACAGGTTGTGATTTCTCTAATGAGCAAAGCAGCAGTGGACTCTACCATGTGCAGAAGCTTTCTGGAAGTAAGCAAAGAAACTGATTGCACTGGAAATGGGGAGTGTGGAGTAAGAAATGTTGACTTTCACTTTATACCCTTTGTAATGTTTGAAGTTTTAACCACAACATTCATTTGTATGGGTTATTCTATGAGATTCAGGTTCCCCCATTCCCAATATTCAGCAGAAGACAGTGTAAATGGCCAAAAGGAAGTTCAAAGAATTGAGTGCTTATGATGGGGAGTAGCCATGCTCTGCCCCAAACTGAAACATCCAGATGCTTTTGGGTTGACCTAGGGTTAAAGAACACTGCCCTGTCTCCACCCCACCCCCACGCCACCCCCCAGGAACTCAGCCAACATCTGCCCCACACATTTCCTGGAACTTATTGCTTCTCTAGAGGGAACAGCAAGGACTCCGACCCTGGGCCCCAAGACTCACAACATTTTTTTTTCCCAATCCAAAGGCCAGCATCATGACAATTACTATGCCATCTCTGATTATAGAAGATAAGTAACAACGGAAGAAATCATGCTCATGACTCAGAGCAAGGAAGTCCAATATTCTCATCTCTAAAGAAATCTCAGATTTCCAGGGCACTTGGGTGGCTCAGTCAGTTGGGCGTCTGACTTCGGCTCAGGTCATGATCTCACAGTTCATGAGTTCGAGCCCCAAGTGGGACTCTGTGCTGACAACTCAGAGCTTGGAGCCTACTTTGGATTTTGTATCTCCCTCTCTCTCTGCCCCTCCCTCTCTCTCTCTGTCAAAAATAAATAAACATTAAAAATTTTTTGTAATTACAAAAAAAAAAAAATCTCCTATTTCCATCTAAGATCATTCCCCTATTATTCTGGGGGCCCAGGAAGGGGTCCAGGGCAGAACAGAAGCTCAGGGAAGAAGTCCTGGGAAATTGCAAGGAGAAGGAAGCTGCCTTCTCAGACTCTGGCTTTGAGGACGCTTTGCACCATCACAACAGGACTGTGAGCCAAAAGCCAGTTGATTGGGGGAAGGATGGGAAGACTGAGTCACAAACTGAAACGTGGCCTAACTGGAGTACACGACCCAAGGACAAGCCTGTGGTAGTTCAGCCCCCTCTCTGCTTTCCACCCCTAGGCATGCATCCACTTCCAGGTGGACAGGACTTCTCAAGACTTGGGAGGTATCCTTCCTCCTTAGAGAACCTTCCCAGGACAAGGCCTGGGAGCCCAGGGCAGAGCAGGCACTATGGAGAAGACAGCCATGCATGCAAATGCTAAAAAACAGAAATGTCATACACATCCTCATCATTCAACAGCTATTTCATTATTTTGATTCACCAAACGTTATTGGTCAGCAAGGAGCCCAGGAGCATGAGAGGAAACGAGGGATGGACAAACATGTCTAAGAACTAGCCTTTACCCTCACCAAACCCAAAGCCTAGGAAAGAGCACAACACACAACCAAGCACTAGGGTGCATGGCCCAGTGAGGTTCATGAGAGACAAAGGCACAGTTTGATGGGACCCAGAAGAGGAAAGTGATATGGAAAACAAAGGCAAAAGAAGATGGGGCAAAAGTTAAATTTCCTTACAACTTGCAGCCCATTGACAATTACCTGGGACAGACAGAGTGACCTTCCTCTAGGAACTCAGCTGCCTCAATGTTAATACTTTGCTAGAGGCTAAAGGAAACCTTAGCGGGGCACCTCGGTGGCTTAGTCCATTGAGCATCCGACTTCAGCTCAGGTCATGATCTCACGGTCCGTGAGTTCGAGCCCCGTGTCAGGCTCTGTGCTGACAGCTCAGAGCCTGGAGCCTGTTTCGGATTCTGTGTCTCCCTCTCTCTCTGACCCTCCCCTGTTCATGCTCTGTCTCTCTCTCTGTCTCAAAAATAAATAAATGTTTTAAAAAAAATTTTTTTAAGGAAACCTTAGCTTGACATTAGCCTGAAGTTCAGGATCCTGTAAGTCTTCTTTAACATAGGAAAATCCCTTGGAAACTTCCTTTATCTCTAACTCTCCACTCCCCCCACCAATTCCACCCCCACCCCACAAGATATGTGTTAACAATCATCCTCCAAATATATGGCCCACTGATATACATCTGAAGTCTAAGTTTTTATTAAACAGTAGTAAATGACCCCTCAAGGTCTTGGAAATCTTGCTTCCAAATTCCTTAGAGACTTACACTATCCCTAACCCCCTCCCAACTTGAAAGTATATAATCAATCATTCTTCATAACCCCAGTGCAGCTCTTCTTTCTGCCCGTGGGTCCTGTCCCTGTGCTTTAATACAACCAACCACCTTTTTTGCACCAAAGACATCTTAAGAATTCTTTCTGGACCATTTGCTTCTGGAGCCCAGTGTTTCATATCAGAAAGAACTAATACCTGTTCAAGGTGTTCAGTACTTTTCCTGGGGACTTTCAGCCTTATCCATGGCCTCCTTTAACAAGGAATGGGATAAAACCAACTTCTCGTAATTTTCTTTTCTCTAAAGTAGGCTGTGCTGCTGGGGGGAAGGATATGAAGATTCTCCTAGAATTTCAGGAACAGCACTGATAAAGAGTTCACAATTCAGAAGTGTGGTATCACAAAAAATAAATATTAAGTCTTTGTCCCCAGTTCCTGGCACACAACTCCCAAAGCCTTGGAATCTCTGGAGTGATGGATATCTTTTGTATGCTAATGAGATGACTGGTGAGTGGGGACCCCAGAGAGCTTCTGGAAGGGGGCTGATCTCCAGAAAATCCAAGACAGATGAGAGGGTTGGGACTTTCAACTCCACCTCCACCCCTGACTTTTGGGGAGGGCCAAGGGGCTACAGATTGAATTCAATCACCAGGGCCAATGATTAATCCACCTACCTCATGGAACCTCCATAAAAACCTCTAAATGACAGATTTTAGAGAATTTCCAGGTTGGCAAACACATCAAGGTGTCAGGAGGGTGACACACCCAAAGAGAGTACAGAAGTGCCACACGCCTTCCCCCATGCCTTGCCCTATGCATGACTCCCACTGGACCCTCCTGAGTTATGTCCTTTGTAATGAACTACTGATAGTAAAGTGTTTTCCAGAGTCCAGTGGGTCATTCTAGCAAGTGATCGACCATAAAGGGAGGGACTGTAACCAAGTTGGACAGAAGCATGGGTGACCGAGGGACCCAATGGTTGTGACTGGTGTCTGCACCTTGTGCCTGAGCCCTTTAGCTTTGGGGATCTGCATTAACTGTGTCAGAAATGAACAGAATCATTGGATACCCAGTTGGTGTCAGAAAAAAGGAGAATTGGTTGATGGGAGAAGAAAACTTAACAGAAAGAGCTTGTGGGATCCTATTCTATGTCTGTGCAATAAAAGGAAAGCCCTACACAGTTGTCTAGGTGCAGCTGCAAGAGGAGAGGTGCTGAGCAATGTTCCCTGCCCTCCTTTTTTCCAGTCCCTCCCCCAGGGACTCACAAACTGCACCCCTAGCCTTTCTAGGCATTGTCGTCATCCTTCCTATCCCATATTCTCACCTGGGCAGCCAGCTCTCTCTGCCCCCTGGAACCACATTAGCCTTCCGGGGTCTGTTCTAACTTTTCATCCTTTCTTCTAGAAATTTGACTGCCCTCCCTTTTACCCAAAGCCAATAAAATCCCTCCCTCCCAGGGATCTGTCTCTTACTTCTTTCCCTGTTCAAGCCAGTTGGTGGTTTTAAACAGGAACTAAAGTATCATATTTCCCTGAACAAGGTTTGTCAGACCCAAAGGTTTTCCATTTGCAGGAAATGAGAACTCACTCAAACTCACCTGAGCCGAAATTAGAAATTTATTATAAGGCATCAGGTTGTCCTTGATGATCAAAAAGGAGGAAGGACGGCTAGATGGCAGTTGGGCTACAGAAGGTCAGAGACCAGAACTATAAAACAGCCAGGGACCCAGGCTGCTGTCTACTCAGGTCGTTTCCCCAGCTCTCAGGGACCACATAATTCTCACACCATTTCACTGTGTATCTTCATCCTTCTCTGCACGGGAGCTTTCTCTGCTTCTCTGCCCCCATAATGGAAGATGGTTCCACATACAGCCCAGGACTTACAATTCCTCAGATTAGGCAACCATAAGAATTCTAACTCCAAAATCCCCAAAGGAGGGAATGTATTTCATGCTCCCCACCTGGAATATCAAAAAACCATACCCAGAGAGGCAGCCATGTAATACCAATGTGGCTGTGAGATCCACCTTCACTGAAGGAGCAGTTCTTAGAGAAGGAGGGATGCTGTCCTGGCTGGATACCCCCAAAACTTCACAACAGCTGTATTTAGCATTCCAGTTGCTCATTAAAATTATGCAGAGTCAGCCTACAGAGAAACTCGCAAGGCCACTTGTGTGGGGATAGAGGTGTCTGCAGCAAGGAGGGCAGTGCACAACTGTCCAGTCCTTTAGTCAACATTTTTAGTGGTTGGAGCAACTTCCAGGAGCAGCTGGAGATACAGGGTGGCCATCTGCAAACACCTGGGCTGGCACTGGAAATAGACAAACAGGAAATAGACCGGGATGCCACTGAGCAGGAACAGGAAGATGTACAGGAACTCAATCTGGGGTTGGTCGATAATGGGCGCCAGCACCAGGTAGAGAGAAGCAAGGAGCATGATGACAGGGATGATGGTGGGGACCTGCAATGGACACAGGGACCTGGATGATGGAGAGGCACGGGATATTGTATGTGGCCCTTGGGCTCTGTCCCTCCTGCCTGCCTGCCTGTTGCTTTCACCTGGCACCAGCTCCTCTCTTCCAGTCACTGCCATCCTACCTTGCCTGGCCAGGGAAGCCGCCTGCCAGGTTACAAGGGGCCATCCAAGGATCAGGGGCTTTGGGACCCAGGCTAATCCTCTCTATGCTATGTGAGGATTAATCCTCCTACTATATGTGTGCATCCTCTCTGCATTTGTCTCCTGTTGTTCTCCCTCAGGGTCCTCCAGAGGAGAAATGAGTCCCCAGTAAGCAGAATCGATGCCTTGTGATCCAGATGTCCTCACCCCCAGGAAATATAGAAATTGTCTACCAAATATGACATCCTTTCTTACATTCTTTCTCCAGGCCCCAAATGGGGCTATGGTCCAACGATCTGCTTCATGCAACAGCCTAGGGTTGCAAAAAGCCCAATGTTTATTTCAGACTCTACCTTGTAAGGTCGAGGAAGATTCTTCTTCTTTATCCGCAAGTACAAGAGACAGCCAATGGTGGTTCCATAGGTGATCCAGCCAAGGAAGCTAAGAGGCAAACATGAGCCACTTACTCTGAGGCCCTTCCCTGGGTGGGCCTGCAAGAGGGGCTGGCCTACTAGGTGCAAACCTGGGACAGAAGTGCAAGCTCATCAGGGGCCTTTCAGCTACCCCCCATTGTCCTTGTCTATGCAGACTTAGGAAAGAAGAAGGCAAGGCTGGGGCACCAAGAACAGGAATGCAGTGGAGGGTATTCTTGCCTCCTTCATCTCCAGTCACAAAGTGACTCACACATACAAGCCCAGGCACCCACTTGGCTTCATATTGGGCCTTGTTTGACTGCCCCTGACTGGACAGAAAAGGACAATTTTCAAAGAGAGGGAGGAGCATTTGTGTGTCTAAAAACAGGAGTCTGGTGAAATGTCAAGGAAGCCTGTGCTCTCCTCAGGGACCAGCACACTCATAGCAGATGCTCCTACTTTAGAGTTGGTGACAGGATAGGTCACTGAACACCCAGACAAGTGCCTGGCCTCTGCCTTCCCCAGTGTGGTTAGTTGAGTGGCTGATACAGGTCCGATGGAAGCCTCATCTGATCCGGGAGATGGGATCCAGACCAGGCCATCTCTTGAGGCAGTCAAGACTGGGAGACATGGGGTCCTTGTTGGGATAGATCATCCCCAACATTCTCACTCTGTGCCGGAACACTCTCAGTCACATTCCCCAATCTCAGCCCAAAGAAACCCTGGGTTCACCACGGTTTGATATTATTCTCATCATATAACGATTTTATCCTTTCTCATGGGAAAAAAATAAAAAGAAAACCAAATCTGTTACTTAATGTTCTGAAGAAAGTCACATCAAGCATTGTATATCCTGTTCCAGAAGATTAATTATACTTATGACAATGAAGAAGAGAACACGCGATGCCTGAGAAATTGCTCTGAGAGCTCCCTCGGCATCCAGACGCCACACTTGCCTGTAAGTGTAAGGATGTGCCCACGAAACCTGTTTCAGATGAGGTCATAAAACCACAACTGAATGGCACGACAGTCCATCATTTCTGCCCCAGGCAAGGCAATAAAGGGGGTCAGAATATGTCTCCATTTTGATGCAATCTCTGATTATACCTACCCAGCTTGGTTGTGGGTCTGCCCTAGGTTCAATAAAGATATGCTGGGTCAGAGTCCTGAGCACAGATCAGACTACAAAGGGAAAATCACACCACAGCCAAGGGCTACCAGTCGTGGTGAGTAAAGCCTGAAGATAGCTTTAACGTGATCTCAGCGACAGAATAAAGGAACGAGGAAGAATAAAAAATGACAAAGACAACACAAGCCTTTAACTTGTCTGCCTCTTGGTGAAACATTTGTCTCATTGAATTTTTGGAAATAGGACAAGAGAGGAGGGAGCCACATTTAATTTTGGAAACATAACTGGGAGAGAATGGCTGAAATGTGTGTGCATGTGCAAGAGCCCTGAGCTCAGGTTTCCAGAAGTGTGCATGCATATCTTTATGTATATAAACAGGCATATATGCGATAGTTACACATAGGGGCTTCCAGAAGTGTGCACACACGTATTTATATACACACATGCATGTGTGTGAGTGTGCACACATAGGGGGCTTCCATATACATATGAGTGTATGTGAGTATACGCACAAAGGGGCCATGAGATACCCAGCACGGGAGGACAGTCTCACTTGCCTCAAGAAGTTCACGATGGTGCTGAAGCTTCCTGGGATGACCAGGACCAAAGCCACTGCCGTGGTAAACATCAGGGCCGGAGTTGGTGTGAGGCGATGCACATGAACCATGGACAGAAGTTGGGGCTGGGAGCAAAGCCAGGTGTCAGGCAGCCGCCCCGCCAAGGGAGGCGCAGTAGGTTTCTGCCCTGGGAAGTTCCCAGCTCTCTTCCCCTGCCAAACTCACTCTGGACACCAGTGTGCCCAACCTAATAGTCCCCAGTCCCCACAGCTTCAAGATGCAGGTCTCTGTGGCTCACCTGGGGTGAAAGCAGGCCCAGCGTACAGCTTGGGAGGCCGATCACTCCAGAGACCCAAAAAGCTTAGGACGTGGGCTAGAGTGTAGGGAGCTGACCCACGTGCCTGGCCAGGTTGTCCAACTTTCTATTGCTCATCCCCAAGACAGGAAGAGGGACCAGGGGCGGGAAGACAGAGGATGGGGGAGAAGAGGGTGGGATGGTTATGGATGGAGCATGGAATAGGATCATGGATTATGATAGTAGACTGTATAAGTACTCAGCAAATAGTCCTCCCTCTCCCACCTCTGTAGGAGAAATACTAGGTACTTCCCCATCCATTGACTCCGGGCTTGGCCAATGAAATGTGAGCAGGGGTAACACGGCAGAGGCTCGAAATATACCTGTGTGGCTTGGCTTGGTCTCTTGAACCCCTGCCACCTGCTTTAGGCAAAAACATGCTTTGGCCTGGGTCCCTGAGACAAGAACAGACTCAGAGACCTGAATGAGAAAATCTGAACACGAACCCCAGGCTGAAGCAGAGCCACGATAGACCCAGGGACCGATGAGCATCATGAAGCATTTGCTGTTGTCAGCCCCCTAGATCTTGGAGTTGTTGTTCAGCATCATTGCTGCGAAAGGTACCAGAGGGACAGAGTCCCTAGGGGGAGGGGCCCTGAGCATACTCACCAGCTCGGCTCTGCTCCTGTGGCTCTGCCCCGCTGCCCCCACACCGTTTGCCCTACACAAACATCCCCATCACCTACAGACTCCACAATGTGATCCAGTATGGTGACTCCCAAAACCTGGAAGTCAAAGGACTGGAGTTTAAATGGAGATGCTTGGGATGCTTGAGTCTCATTCTCAGAAGAAAAGAGGGCTAAGGTGCCTGGGTGGCTCAGTCAGTTAAACGTCTGACTTCAGCTCAGGTCATGATCTCACGGTTCGTGAGTTTAAGCCCTGCATTAGGCTTTGTGCTGACAGCTCAGAGCCTGGAGCCTGCTTCAGAGTCTCTCTCTGCCCCTCCCCAACTCATGCTGTCTCTCTGTCTCAAAAATAAACACTAAAAAAAAATTTTTTTTCTTTTTTTTTAAAGAAGAGAAGAAGGCTATGTCTTGTAGGGGGAGTCCTGGCTTGGGCTAAGTGCTAAGCTCAGGCAGGAGAAAGCTTAGCCCTCCTGCAGCCCCCACCACCTTGGCCAGCCCAGACCCCATCTCTCACCATGTGGCCTTCTCTCGCAGCCACATAGCACACACGACTTCCACCGAAGAACATCCCATTGGCAGAGCCAAATGTCGAGAGTACGACAGCCAACGGTACCAGCCAGGCCCAGGCCCCCAGCACCTGGTTCCTAGGACAACAGAGGGTCAAGGGAAGGAACTCCAGCAGCAAACTGGAAGACAACAGCAAGGAAACAGAGCAAGCAAAACATCCGGAGGCAACTTGAAATATACACAGGACACTATCCTTCCCTAAACCTGATGTCTGCCCAGTGGCCAAGGAACACTGACTTGACTCACTCACCCCCAGCTCACAGCCATAGCATCAGAGGAAAGGATCTCGTTGGGCGACAACACTAGCAGGTAACTGATGTTGACCAGGAGGTACAAGCTGGTGACCAGGGGGATGGCGATCATCACTGCCCACACCAGGTTCTGCTGCAGAGTCCAGAAGAAGAAGCCATGTGTTAGGTGGTGAGTTCCTTCTCAGGCCCCCAGAACAGGCTCGTCAGTGCAGTGCTGAGCTCATCCTGGCCTCAGGGAGTATGTCAGGCCCTGGGGGCCACTCAGGCTGTGTGCCCCTCTTCCACGTGCTCACAGTCCATGGCCTGGATCCACAAACAACAGATGTGCTGGGAGGCCGTGAGGGGCAGGAACCAGTCTGAGCAGTGGAGATACAGAGGGCCTGAGAGGAGTGGGGGCACCCACGAGAACAGAGCACAGAGAAGGGACAAGGAAGTTAAAGATCTTCATTCTTGGCTATTCATCAATCTTTCCAGCTGTAATATTCCAAGACCACCATGACAACCCTGCCTATTTTCTGGGTCTCCAGGACTCAGGCCCACCCAGACTGAAGGCCATTTCTGCCAGGGGTTCCACTCTGACCCTCAGGCTCCTCAACTGGAAATTGGGGGTCATTGGGGATCTGTAAAATGGGACTTCTCACTGCTCTGCCTCCCTGCAAGGTATGAGGATCAGCACAGAGTAAGGAAAAGGAAGGGCCTGGACATAAGGGCTGTGGGCACACAGAGCAGCTTATCCTATGGAGGCATTGTGCCACTCTGACCCTCGGTCTTTCAATAAAGGTACTGAGCAGGCGTCCAATAAAAATGGAGGAATAAATGAAAACTGGGTAAAACAGAGTGTACTCCCTCCCACTTCACCGCCTGGCC